CTTATGAATATTTAGGCTTTTTGCCTTCAACAATTATTTAAAAGGCTGCATTGACCATTTGTGCACACAAAACTCTGGGCACATTTGCAAAGGCTACTTTGGAATGGATAGCAGGGAGTAAAATTGTGGGGGTGAAGAAACTCTTCATTTTCCATTTTACTAGAGGTTGCCACATTTTCCTCCAAAATTACATGCATTTATATTTCTTCCACCAGTGTTAAATATCCATTTCCCCATATATTACGATGAAAATTATGTATTTATTTATTTATTTGTTTGAAACTGAGTTTTGCTTTTGTCACCCAGGCTGGAGTGCAATGGCATGATCTTGGCTCACAGCAACCTCTGCCTCCCAGGTTCAAGCAAGTCTCCTGCCTCAGCCTTCCAAGTAACTGGGATTACAGGTGCCTGCCATCACACCCTGCTAATTTTTTGTAGTTTTAGTAGAGTTGGGGTTTCGCCATGTTGGGCAGGCTGGTCTTGAACTCCCGACCTCAGGTGATCCAGCCACCTCCCAAAGTGATAGGATTACAGGTGTGAGCCACTGTACCCAGCCTATAGATTTCAAATCCGAATGGAAAACGAGCTTCTAGGAAATTTTTCCTATTTTTAACAGCCATTTAAGTTTATTTCATGAAGTTTTTCCATTCCTTTCTCAATAAGTTAGCTTCTTACTTGCCTGTTATATTAAAATGTACACCTAAAATTTAACAATGGATTTCCATGCTTTTGCCTTTATTTTCTAATTTTATTGTGATTGTTGAATGAGACCAGTGATCTCTGATTTAGAATGCGTGTTTCTCTTTCAGTTTTTATTTATGCCCAAGATAAGGTCAAATTTAGTAAATGTCCCATGTGTGCTTGAATGGAATGTACATATTTGATTTGTAATGAAGCACTTTCCCATTAAAAAATATATACATATATTTCATATACATACGCCACAAACTCTTTCTTGTGCATTACCTAAATTATATATTAAATTTTTTGGTTTTGCTTGGTGTGGTGGCTCTGGCCTGTAATCTCAGCACTTTGGGAGGCCGAGGTGGGAGGATTACTTGAGGCCAGGAGTTTGAGACCAGCCTGGGCAACATAGCAAAGACATCAGCTCTACAAAAATAAAAAAAAAAAGTTAGCTGGGCCCGGCAGTGTGTGCCCGTAGTCCCAGCTCCTTGGGAGGCAGAGGTGGGGAGATTGAGGAGGTCCTTGAGTCCCAGTGGGTGTGGGAGGGGGGGCCGGTTGAGTATACAGGGAGCTATGATTGGGCCACTGAACTCAGCCTGGGCACAGAGCGAGACCTTGTCTCAAAAAGTTTATTGTGGTAAAATAGACATAATACAAAACTTAACCATCTTACCTGTTTTTAAGTGTACAGTTCAATGGTGCTAAATACATCTATAATGTTGTGCAAGCATCGCCATATCCATCTCTGTAACTGTTTATCTTATAAAACTGAAACTGTCCTCATGAAACAATAACTCCCCATTTTCTTCTTCAGCCCCTGGCAACCATCTCATTCTACGTTGTCTCTGTGATTCTGGCCCCTTTAAGTACCTCAGATACGTTTAATAAGACAGTATTTGTCGTTTTGTGACTGGTTTATATCACTTAGTACATGTCCTCAAGGTTCATTCCTGTCACAGCATACATCAGAATCTCCTTCCTTTATTTACTTATTTGTTTTTTTCAGACGGAGTCCCGCTCTGTCACCCAGAGCGGAGTTCCATGACGCAATTTCCTCTCACTACAACCTCCAACGCCCAGGTTCACGCCATTCTCCTGCCTCGGCCTCCTGAGAGCTGGAACTACAGGCACCCGCCACCACACCCGGCTATTATTTTTTATTTTTTATTTTTAATAGAGATGGGGTTTCATTGTGTTGATCACGCTGGTCTTGAACTCCTGACCTCAGGTGGTCCACTGACCTCAGGTGTTCCACTCTCCTCAGCCTCCCAAAGTGCTGGGATTATAGGTGTGAGCCACTGAGCCTGGCTTCCTTTTTTTTTTTTTTTTTTTTTTTTTTTTTTTTTTTTTTATTTTTTTTATTTTGTTTTTAAATTTTTTTTTTGAGACGGAGTCTCGCTCTGTCACCCAGGCTGGAGTGCAGTGGCCGGATCTCAGCTCACTGCAAGCTCCGCCTCCCGGGTTTACGCCATTCTCCTGCCTCAGCCTCCCGAATAGCTGGTACTACTTTACTGGGACTACAGGCGCCTGCCACCTCGCCCGGCTAGTTTTTTGTATTTTTTAGTAGAGACGGGGTTTCACCGTGTTAGCCAGGATGGTCTCGATCTCCTGACCTCGTGATCCACCCGTCTCGGCCTCCCAAAGTGCTGAGATTACAGGCTTGAGCCACCGCGCCCGGCGCTTCCTTCCTTTTTAAGGCTGTATAATGCTGTATTTATAGACCACGTTTTGCTTTTCCATTCATCTGTTGATGAACACTTGGGTCTCTAAGGCTCCTATGAACATAAGTGTCCAGATAACTCTTTGAGAGTCTGCTTTCAATTCTTTTGGGTTGCTGGATCTTACGGTAATTCTGTTTTTATATTTTTCAGAAAATACAATATGGTTTTCCGCAGTGGCTGAAACATTTAACATTTATATGTCACTGGGATATAAGGGTTCCAGTTTCTCTGCCTTCTCATTGACACTCGTGTTGATTTTTTTGTTGTCAGTAGTTACCATCTTAGTGGATGTGAGGTATTATCTCATTGTAGTTGTGATTTGTATTTCCCTAATGGTTAGTGAGGTTGAGCCTCTTTGTATGTGCTTATTGGCTATTGGCCATTTGTGTATCTTTGGAGAAATGTCTATTCCAGTCCTTTTCTCATTGTTAATAAGATTGTTTTGTTATTGAGTTTTAGGCATTCCCTGTAATCTGGAATTTAATCCTTTGTGAGATACATGCTTTGCAAATATTTTCTCCCATTCTGTTGGTTGACTTTTTACTCTTTTGATATCATCTTTGTTTTTGAGACAGAGTCTCCCTCTGTCACCCAGGCTGAAGTGTAGTGGTGCAATCTAAGCTTGCTGTAGCCTCCGCCTCCCGAGCAGCTGGGATTACAAGCATGCACCACCACGCCTGGCAAATTTTTGTATTTTTAATAGAGACAGGGTTTCACCATGTTGGCCAGGGCTCTCAAACCCCTGGCCTCCAGTGATCCACCTGCCTCGGCCTCCCAAAGTGCTGGGATTACCGGCGTGAACCACACTGCGCCTGGCCGATACTGTCTTTCGATGCACAAAATTTTAAAATTTGTATAAAGTCCAGTTTGTCTATTTTTTCTTTTGTCTGTGTCATATTCAAGAAATAATCGCCAAATCTGTGTCTGGAAGCTTTTGCCCTACGTTTTCTTCTAGGAGTTTCACACTTTGAGCCTTCCGTTTAGATCTTCAGTCCATTTTGCATTCATTCTTGTTTGTCGTATCGGGGGTCCACATTTATTCTTTTGCATGTGGCCATAGATGGTATGTAATCTTCGCTAATCGTTTGTAATTATCTGAAAGGTATATTAGCTCGGATACAATGATATTGTATTTGTCATTATCTCCTTGTGTGTAAAATGATATTGCCAGGTGCACATATGCTCATGAATTCTAGATCTTGGGGAACTGAATCTTGCTGTTCCAAAATTCTTCGTCCATTTAGTACTTTCTAGCTTGAGTGTTTTTCAATGCTGATATTTTTATACTATTAATACTTTGTTGGGTAAGAATTTGCCGGGCTTTTTCTTCTTCTATTTTACTTTTCTGTGTATTTTCTAGGATTCTCTTATAAACAACATATAGCAAGATTTTTATTTATCCAATGTGAGTCTATATATTAGTAAGCAATTTTATTTCATTCATATGTGTTAAAATTATACTGAGGCTGGGTGCAGTGGTTCACGCCTGTAATCCCAGCACTGTGGGAGGCTGAGGTGGGTGGATCACGAGGTCAGGAGTTTGAGACCAGCCTGGCCAAGATGGTGAAACCCTGTCTCTATTAAAAATACACACACAAAAAGAAAATTAGCCAGGCATGGTGGCAGGTGTCTGTAATCCCAGCTACTTGGGAGGGTGAGGCAGGAGAATCACTTGAACCTGGGAGGCAGAGGTTGCAGTGAGCTGAGGTCATACCATTGCACTCTAGTCTGGGCAACAAGAGTGAAACTCCGTCTTAAAAAATAAAATAATATATTTTATATATATATATGGTGTTATTTTTGTCACCTGTCTCATTTTGTCTAGCATATATTTCTACTTCATTTCCTGTCTTCTGTTGAATTGCAATGATTGTCTGGAGGGTTTCTAATAGTAGGAAAGTTCACCATTCTGTGTCTGTCCGAGTTGTTAGTCTGCAAATGCTAACCTATAATAAATCTTTTTCCTTATCTACTGTAATTAGAAGGCATATACCCCCAAACAAGACCAAAAAATCTAAATTTGCTTTTATATCTTCTTCCTTTATTTTCATCTTCCTGAATATGATCATCTGTAATTTTAATATCAGTTCATTTTTTTCATTATGAAAATTGGATTAGACTAGACTAAGTATGGGAAGGTTTATAGAGCAAACAAACTCACAGAATGCTGGTAGGAATGTCAGTTATTATATCCAGAAGGGAAAATCATGGAGCATTATGTAGCAAACATGGTGACCTGTGTGTGCTGTTTGACCTGTAATTTATAAATCTGGAGAAATGTGTGCTTGTATGTACCAAGCTACACAGAAACGCTTGTTCATGAAAGCATCATTTATGTCAGACAAAAACAAGACACTTAAATGGCAGTCAACGCTACCATTCACATGAATTTGTTTGGAAAAAAGATGAAGCTTCTTCCCTAGATAATGTTTGATGCAAGATGTGTATGATGATATCAATAATTTTGAGCTGCTTTCGGCTGCTGAAACTTAACTCTGTAATCATATCATTCTTCTCCAGGTATCATTTATTCTTTATTTTTAAGGATCTTTTTTTTCCCTCTGGAGACACGTGAGCTCACAGTCCTGGGGAGATATGGCAGAATCTTTTTTTTCGGATTTTGGCTTGTTGTGGTATCTGAAGGAGCTCAGAAAGGAAGAGTTTTGGAAATTTAAGGAGCTCCTCAAACAACCTTTGGAGAAATTTGAACTCAAGCCAATCCCCTGGGCTGAGCTGAAGAAGGCTTCCAAAGAAGACGTAGCAAAGCTGTTGGACAAACATTACCCGGGAAAGCAGGCATGGGAGGTGACACTGCACCTGTTTCTACAGATCAATAGGAAAGATCTCTGGACGAAGGCCCAGGAAGAGATGAGAAGTAAGTGCTGGATGAAGGGGCGAGGACCCGGGTGGGGGAAGGCTGGTGTACTGGGAACAAGGCGATATCGTTGTTGAATGAGTGGCCATCCCCTCCATCACGTGAGAATGTGTGTGGGCCAAGGTGAGAGTTGAAGGCAGGAAAAGAGTTGCAGGCCAGGGCCGTTCGTACGTGGGCCAGTGATGAACTGGGGACGGATGACGTCCTGATACAAACCATTCACCTAAGGAGTGTCTTCCCATTTTCCCACCCCAAGTAGAGTCGTTGTTATGGGAGATGAGTGGCCAGTTAGTGTCTGCATTGCCAGGTCTACTGAGATGGAATTCTAGTATGGTAGTTGCCTTCTTTTCTATTTTTTATTTTTGTTTTTGAGACAAGGTCTTGCCATGTTGCTCAGGCTGGTCTTGAACTCCCAGGCTCAAGCAATCCGCCTGCCTAGACCTCCCAAAGTGCTGGGATTACAGGAGTGAGCCACCGTGCCTAACCGCCTGTCTTTGTTGACCAGACATCTACCAAGGAGTAGGTAGAATCTTAATATTTAAGACAGTCACAGACAGCGTATGTCCCAGGTACTACAGGAAGCACTCTTGCGAGCTTGTTTGGAGGTTCTGGTAGGGGTGCACAGCTTCTCTTCTGCCCGTGCCCGAAGAACAGTCGTCTTCTATGGGGGAAGGTTGTCATCGCCTTTGACCCAGGGCAGAGCTTCAGAACGGACGCACATGGAGCAGCGAGGGAGGAAGCGGACACCCGCCCAGCCGACTTGATCAGCCAATAGCCCTGGCGATCAATGGGGTGACACGTCACAGCCAGGTTGCCCTCATGTCCTGGAAGCACTCTTTCTGCAGAATGTCTTTTCATTCTCATCACAACCCAGGAAAGGTTTACAAGCGAGAAAACCGGACAAAACGGTGTTCCCATGTGTTACGTGACTTTTCCAAAAGTGACAGGTCTGACTCCAACCCAGTTCTACTGGACTCATTGATGGGGTCTACACCCTCCTCTGGGGGGATACTTTAGAAAAACTAAATATATTCCCTATTAGGTATCTAGTAATTAGCGTTTGTTTCTGATGATTGTTATCTTCTCCCTTTACTTCTGAGTTGAATCAACTTCTGTTACATCGATTTCTGTTTTGTTCACGTTTGTTCTTTGTGTTGGTAATTCTAATTTGAGACCTTATTTCATATCCCCACATGCTTGAGGGTATTTTATTTGGTTTGGAATTGCTTGCTGTGTTTTTTGGTTTTTTGTGTGTTTTTTGTTTGTTTTTTGTTTCTTGGTTTTTGTTTGTTTTTCAGATGGTGTCTTGCTCTGTTGCCCAGGTTGGAGTGCAGTGGCGTGATCTCGGTTCACTGCAACCTCCGCCTCCCGGGTTCAAACGATTCTCCTGCCTCAGCCTCCCGAGCAGTTGGGATTACAGGCATGCGCCACCACACCCAGCTAATTTTTGTATTTTTAGTAGAGACGGGATGTCACCATGTTGGTCAGACTGGTCTCGAACTCCTGACCTCTGGTAATCCGCCCGCCTCGGCCTCCCCAAGTGCTGGGATTACAGGTGTGAGCCACTGAGCCTGGCAGTTTGCTTTATCTGTGTGGTTCGTGTCTTTGACTTTTCTGCTGATTAATGTTCTATGTTGGCGGATGAAAAAATGACCGAGTCAATGTCTGAACTGAGGGTTTCTCACTTCAGACGCTGAGGTCCTAAATGTTATATTTCATCTCTAAGATATGACCTTTTTTTTTTTTTTGAGATGGAGTCTCACCCTGTCACCCAGGCTGGAGTGTAGTGGCACTATCTCAGCTCACTGCAAGCTCCACCTCCCAGGTTCACACCATTCTCCTGCCTCAGCCTCCCAAGTAGCTGGGACTACAGGCGCCCGCCACCACACCCGCTAATTTTTTGTGTTTTTAGTAGAGACGGGGTTTCACCGGGTTAGCCAGGATGGTCTCAATCTCCTGACCTTGTGATCCGCCCGCCTCGGCCTGCCAAAGTGCTGGGATTACAGGCGTGAGCCACCGCGCCCGGCCGACATGAATATTTTTAAGGTGACCTTTTCATTGTAAGAGAATGAGAGCAAGCCACTAAGTGCTGTCCCCTGAGTTGCTGGAAATAGGGGTCAAAGGCTTCATTTTTCTTGCCTTTAATAAAAAAAAAACTTTAACATATAGATTTTATCTTTTATTATATCTTTGGTGCCTATATTTCTGGTACATCATAGATATACCACAAATAATGATAAATCATTGGGTTTTGTTTTTTGTTTTTTGTTTTTCTATTTTTTTGAGACGGAGTCTCACTCTGTCACCCAAGCTGGAGTGCAGTGGCGCGATCTTGGCTCACTGCAACCTCCGCCTCCTGGGTTCAAGCGATTCTCCTGCCTCAGTCTCCCGAGTAACTGAGACTACAGGCACTCACCACCACGCCCGGCTAATTTTTCTATTTCTAGTGGAGACGGGGTTTCACCACTTTGGCCAGGATGGTATCGATCTCTCGACCTCGCGATCCATCCGCCTCGGCCCCCCAAAGTGCTGGGATTACAGGTGCGAATCATCAGTGTTAAATAACTTTGCTTATGAATTTTGTCTCAAAAAACCTTCGATGTCAGCAAATGTTTATTATGGGCAAATATAGAAAGTGAATAATATAATGATAAATACATCCAATTAAATAGCATAGGGTTTTGCCAGGCGCGATGGCTCACGCCTGTAATCCCAGCACTTTGGGAGGCCGAGGTGGGCTGATCATCTGAGGTAAGGAGTTTGAGACCAGCCTGGCCAACATGGTGAGACCCTGTGTCTACTAAAAATACAAAAATTACCCACGCGTAGCGACACACGCCTGTAATCCCAGCTGCTCGGGAGGCTGAGGCATGAGAATCACTAGAACCTGGGAGGCAGAAGTTGCAGTGAGCCAAGATCACATCACTGCACTCTAGCCTGGGCCACACAGTGAGACTCTGTCTCAAAAATTATATATATATTTTTTAAATAAATAGCATAGGGTTTTGTGATGAAAAATGTGCATGAATTTAGAAAGATGTCCATAATACATTATTCAGTCAAAAACCATGTTTGAAAACAGTGTATGCAGTATAATTCTACTATAGAGAGAAAAATCGGGCAGAAGAAAAATACAGAGTAATACAGACACAGATTAAGCTATGAGCCATGACTACCTACATTGATGAAATTTTTGGAATGACTTTATTTCCTTTCTCTTTATCTGCATTTTTTTTTAATTTAATTTTTAATAGACATGGAGTCTCACTATGTTGGCCAAGCTGATCTCGGACTCCTGGCCTCAAGTGCTCCTCCTGCCTCAGCACTCCCAAAAACGCTGGAATTACAGGCGTGAGCCACCGTGCCTAGCATGTATGTTTTAAATTCGAGACAGTGTTACAATATTAACTTTGTACAAAGACAGTCACTGCCCAGAGACTTAAATAACTCCTGTGCGGTGATGTTAAAGGGATACAGTGGAGAATAAAGTGGATGCTGTTCCCTCCTGTGGTGTCCACAGTCAGCGTGCAAGGAGAACAAAGACCATCGCTGGAACCGTCCTTGCCTTTGTGAGCGACCACAGGGCCCCTTTGCAGTCTACTTCCTTTCAGTCCCTTCCCCAGACTCAAGATTTTTCTGAAATTTGAAAACTCAGATTCTAAACAGGATTTTAATTCTTCTCCCTTCCCCATTTCTCATCACTCATCAGATAAACTTTGCATAAAATGACGTATTTTGTGTCTGGGCGTGGTGGCTCACGCCTGTAATCCCAGCACTTTGGGAGGCCGAGGCGGGCAGATCACCTGAGGTCAGGAGTTTGAGACCAGCCTGGCCTACATGGTGAAACCCCAACCCTATTAAAAATACAAGAATTAGCCGGGCATGGTGGCACATGCCTGTAATCCCAGCTACTCGGGAGGCTGAGGCAGGAGAATCATGTGAACTCAGGAGGCAGAGGTTGCAGTGAGCCGAGATGGCGCCATCGCACTCCAGCCTGGGGGACAAGAG